GTGTTGCAGAAACCAGAAAAGGTCAAAGGTCAGTACTCGGTTTACACATCAATGATTTCTAATTCCAAGCTGCTTAGTTTAGCTTAGCATAACGACTGAACACAAAAAAGAAAAGTATGAGCTAACACGAAATGAGGATAAGGAACCTGCCGTCAGGTCAGCTGACAGGATGTAATGGCATTAAACTGCCCTCAGGTCAGCTGAGGACAGTAAGGTTTATAAATATCAAGTGTACAAAAATAGACAGCTTTTTATCAGAATGAATGTGCAGTGACAACTAGTGGTAACAATGGAAATTACAATGCTAACAGATATTGTAGCTCATGATGCTAGCAGTTCCAGTTGTGTTAAGCCAAGTAACCTTAGAAATATTACAAATAAAATGCTTTTGAGTCCCACAGATGAAGCAGGACCTTGATCAGAACTCAGGTTCTAGCAAAGCTCCGTTCCTCTCTGAAGGTGCCTCAAGATGGCGTCGGTTCCCTGCATCGACCCCCAAACTCTCTTCAGTGCCTCACACTCCCGCTCGTTGGCTTGTTCTAGGGCACCTCGACTGGTGTTTCTCATCAGAGCTTTGGATTCGCACAGAACCTGCAGCGGACAGTGCAACCATTTGACCACAACGACCCAAGTCAGCAATGTGTGTGCGTGTAGGTATGTGTGGACATACCAGTGAGTCCACAGTCACCAGCTCCTTGACACGCAGCATCACTTCCTGTGTGAAGGTTCCCGGCCACAGGACCTGAGAGACCAGACCTTTAGAACAGGCCTCCTGAGCCGTCAACTTCCTGCCGCTGAGGAGAAGCTCGTTGGCCTGAGGAGAAGAGACTCGGACAATGAGAAAAACAGAAGTTCAGTAAAACTCAGACAAAGATCAGGGACGGATGTACCGAGGCCATGCCCATGATCTTGGGGAAGGTAAAAGAGGAGCATCCATCAGGTGTTTGGCCAAATGACATGTATGGAGTCTGAAACCATGCCTTCTCATTGGCCCACACAACATCACACAGAGGCAAAAGGGCGGCCCCGAGGCCGAGGGCGGGGCCATTGACCGCCGCTACAATGGGTTTCCTGAACTGGATGAATGTGTTGACGAAGGTTCTGAAAAAGAACATGTGGATCTGAGCACTTCCTGTCACTGAGGTATTCACAGAGATTGTGAGTTGAGTGGGCATCACCTGATGCTTTCAGCCATCTTCATACTTTCCTTCTTCCTGTCCTCTGTTAGTCGTCTGATAAAAGACAAGAAGTCCAGCCCACAGCAGAAAATACCGCCCACAGCAGCCAGCAGCACCAATTTACTGTCATCTGATGCTGCTGTTGCCATAGCGCTCTGGATCTCCTTCATGACCTGAGGACAGAGCACGGAGCACATGGGTTGGGGGAGGAGCCAGGATGGCCTTACCAGAGGGTGCGGTCAGTGTTTGATCGTGTGAATGGTATGTTGAGGGTGTGGCCTCACCTCTGGGTTGAGCGTGTTGTTCTCAGAACTTTTGGTGGACAACAGGATGTGGGTAAATCCGTCCTGTTTCTTCACCACAATGTCACGATATCGGTACGCACTCTCAGTTTGTCTGACACTAAATCGCAGACGTTTGTCAAAAGCAGACCTCTCCTCTAGGCGTCTCTTCCCCGTCACACTTGACATGGAGTTCCCTGTAAGATTGCAATAAGGATCAGGTTCATGATTAGGACCAGGCTGAGGATCGGTACCTTTGGATCTCACCTGTACCAGCCAGGGCCTGCAGGGCAGCTGCTGTTGCAGGAAGGCGTGGCAGAGACGGGACGTTGTGACTCCGTGGTCGGGTTCCCATACGTGCCCGCTCTTCTCCAGGACCTAGTTGGACTCCTGCAGATTTCTCCAGCAGCGCCACCTCTGGTGGAACCTGATGAGCTTCATGAGCACCCGCTTCACTTGGGGACTCCTCCTCTGAGTGCAGACTGCTTTTGAAGGGACTTTTGGGAACCAGAATCTTGATGCCAGTTTTAGATAAGTCCAGGCTGCTGCGTGCTGATGTAGCCGGTGCTGCCATCATTGGGCCGGCGCAGAACCTGCGTTGGGACTGTGGAACACCAATGGCAGGTAGATAAGATGGTACCACCAGGGGCAGGTGAGTCGGACCAACCACAGGGTTTTGATGCTCAGAGTCTTCTGATCCTGGTCCGGGTCCAGTCACGCTGACCTGTGTGTGGGCTGTAAGGGGGGCTGGTGGCCTGAAGAGGGTGCTGTGGTTGGCTCTGCAGTGGAGTCCTGGTGGTCCACGGGTGGATCGTAGTAAAGCACGGTCTTTCTGATTCTTGGCCTGCTGACGGTTAAACTCATGCACATATACCATGCACATAGACAAGTGACTCTCAGGTTCCCAAGTGTCCTCCTCAGAACCATAACCCCGCCAACGGACGAGGTACTCCAGGTTACCTTTTTTATTCCTGCGCTTATCCATAATCCGCTCGACCTACAGAAAGCAGCACACAGCTGGTAATCAGCATTAAAACACACAACACAGCTAATGATAATGAGCACACTGTTAACACTGGTTATTTATTATCTATTATTCAGAGAGTTTCACAAGACTAAAATATACAGCTGACATAAACCACAGGTGGTTTTATTTAACATCTCAAAATATCGTCCAACTGCAGGGACCAGGACTAGAACCAGGACCAGGACCAGGACCACGAGATGTCCAACAAATAAAACATACTGATATAAAACCTGCTTCACCTGCACGGAGCTACACGATGCTTCAGTTGACATTCTGCTAAAGTACAGCTAAGAACGATAGCATGGCTAACACACAACACACCACTAACTAATCAAGCTGGTATAAAACTCAAATTATCACAAGTTATTGACGGTAGCAGCAGAACTATGACCAAAGCTTTACCAACGTAGCCAACTCCCGAAACAGAGCGTTTAAGCGTCGTTAAAACTTTTAACACTTGGCTGAAAAAGTAAACTAGTGTCAAATTATCAGTTAACTTACATTTTGACATTTGGCTAAAACGACTCTAGTTGACAATTAAAATGAACTCTTATCTGGTCTGATTCTATACCACTTGCAATACTGAAATTGAAGAAAACTTAAGTATAGCATAACTACTATAGTGTTAGCTTTAGCCTGCCTTACCTCGTACAAGTCCTCAGTCGCCATGGAGACGGTGTGCTCCTACAAGCAGGGAAGATGTGCAGGTGGAGGTGAGCAGCATGAGAAAAAAATGCGCTGGTCCGTATGTTCGATAACGTCTGTTACCGTTGAGTTTTAAACGACACTTAACTCAAACCGTTAGCCTTTAGCACAACAGCGGCTGACTGGAACTTCCTGACTCTGTCACTTTCAGAATAAAAGCTGGTCCGCTATAGTAGGTGGAGACAGTCAGCTCCATTATAGGGTTTTAAACATTAAAGAATGCAACTGCGTGTGCTCGGTTTGTATCACTGACCACTGAAAAATACATTTGAAACGTGAAATTAGAAAATCAACACTCAGACCATCAACACAAAAATGCAGATTTATTTATGTTACTTTACTGTGAGAGTGATGTGATAGACTGGAGTTAATGTGGATTAGAGGCATACTCGAGAGTCTGAATAAGAGTGTTATTCAGAGAAGAAGAAGAAGGAGCACAGGCTGTCTAAGGTCACGTGACCTATTCTCTTCAGTCTGACTTCTTGTTCATCAGTTTCTTTCGCTCTGTGACATCGTCGCCCTCATAAGGGAGAGAGCGGCGGGCCTTACAGCACAGGAAGTAGAGAACGGCCATAATGATAGACAGGATGGAGACAAGGAAGCAACCAAGCAACGGACCATGAGGGAACAACAGCTGAAGAGGAAGAGGTCAAGGGTCAAACATCTTACAACAGAGTCGTGTGTGGAAATACAAGGAAAAAACTTACCGTTAATGTAACGTTAACTTCATAAACGAGGCGTCTGATTCGCTGGAAAACGCTGTTTCCTCCCTGAGACTGAAATAAACAATAAACAGAAAACAATCAACAGACAAACAATGAACAAAAATAACAACCAATCAACAGACAAACCAACAGACGATCAGTGTCTGATGAACTCACTTGGACACTTCCATTGATAATGCCCTCCAAAAAGCCAACCAACTGAAGCTCCGCCTCCACAGGCGTATCAGGGAGGAAGTAGCCATCATTGGTCAGATTGACCACCACAAAGGATGGAATAATGACATCACTGGTGACATCACAACAAAAGGGTCTGGGATTAAGCCTCCATGTCATGTCATACAAGGAGTTGTTGTGATGACATCATTGCTTACCTCATCATTAACCCTTTGATATAATCCATTTGATTCATGTAACCAAAGTAGAAGATTCTAGAACAGATTCAAAAATAGTCCATGTATTGTCTGTACTCCATTACTGTGTGTATTTGTAGAGTAAGTCTTGTTTTACATTATGAATAATTAGTTAAATCAAAATAGATAAATGTTAAAAACCTCTTGTAAAGGTGTCGTCGCTCCGTAGCCACTCTCTCCAGCAGACATTTAAACCTGCACAGAAAATCAAGGGTCACATGATGAGGCTGATGATGTCACATGCCAGTTTGTCAATGTGTTTTCGTACCGTTCACTCTCTCTCTGATTCCTGCCTCTCTCAGCCACCAGTGCTAACACCACCAGCTTACCTGAGAGAAATAAGGTGGAGTTAGTGCAGCTTTCGGTACATGTTTGATGACATCACTGTGATGTCATTACCTGAGTCCCCCATGGCATAGAGTGTGAAGCTGTCAATGTGAGCAAACAAGGGGAATCGCTCCTTGTTAACCCACCTCCTCAGGTCTCCGCCCACTTCCTCTGCTGACAGGAAATGCATCATAAAAATATTTTTTACAGTATTGTCAGTTATTATTTTGTTTTTTTCCAGTAAAGGCTTTCCTCTTCTTGTTTTTTAACACAGACAACACTGTGACCACTGTTCTTTTTGAAGTTCTACCTGACATTATACATTTAATTTTCTCTTTTAAATTTTTGCAGTGAAAGACATTTCATAGCAGTGTTTTGACACAACAGTGTTTGAAAAGGTGCTCTCTCACCTGAATAGGCCTCGTATGTCCCGTCTTTAAACAGCACCACTGTTGGTAAAGACGATAGAGACACGTCCTGTAGAAGGATAGAGACGTGAGGACAGAGTGTATGAGAGTGGTCTCATAGTGAAAAACATTGATTTAACTTGAGTCTGTGATAAAGATATGAACAGACTGATGTTTGACCTCTGACCTTAGGAAGAACATCTTTGATAGCAGAGAAGAAGTGTGTGTGGACAATCATCTCCTCGGCAACAGATGTGAAGTTTCCCTGGGAACAGGTCAAAAGTCACAGTGTTTAAGTGTGTGTTGCTGAGGGTCTTTGTGTATGTAAGTGTGTGTATGTGTGTGGGGGGGGTGAGAGATAAAGGGGTGTTACCCTTAGCTCTGATGTGGTTCCAACATAAACAAACATGACCTGGTGTCGTTCTCTGCTGAGTTGAAATATCTGTGGAGTAAGGAGAGAACGCACAGTCGGTCTGACACACACACACACAAACACAAAGTGTTATAGACACAGACATTGTACAAAGCATTACAAACACACTGATGCACACACTCACCCTGACACTCTCAGGGTCCAGGTCATGATTCCATCTCGGGTTTTTGCTCCAGAATAATTATATTTCATGTTTTTTTTCCACCTGAAAAAAACCCAGACTTTTACTGATTCCTCTACCGTAGGCTGTGAGGGTCAGAGGTCAACACCTGATCCTAACCATACTGAGAACTTACATTATGATGGCTGGATAACCTCTAACCCGGAACTCTCTGGACAATGCTGGAATAAAAAACACTGACCTTTAAACTCTCTGTGAACCTGTCACTAACCAAACAACCAACCATAACTGGGTCAGAGATCCTGTATATGTTGTCAAGGTAACATGAGGCGGGACTAACCTGTGTTGACGGTGGCATCTGATTGGCCAACATTAACAGGGGAACCCAGGCTCTTGAGTTCTGATGCCACCTGACGCCAAATTGGGTCCAGCTGTTTACAAAGTGAACACCAGGGGGCGTAGAACTGCAAACAGAAAAGAGATGATGAGTCATGTCAGCCTTCAAGGGCCGGTCACGTGACCTTCTGATGAGCGACAAACATACCTGGATGATCCAGACGTCATCACTTCTCCTCGTCAGTAGGAAACTGAAAATAAAAAAAGTCAAACTCAGAAACAAACAGCTAAAAAGAACCGATAAGGGGTGGGGCAATGCTGAGGGAACGGCGGTGGGTGGTGGTGGTGGGGGGGTGTTCACAAGTCACAGAGACAACAAGTTTACTTACGAGTCATTAAGTTCGTCCACAACAGCAGAACAGCCGAACAGCAGAGCTGGGAAACAAACAGCACAGACATGTCATCAATGCTATGAGTCCGCCCGCTACGACACTGTGGCACCGCCCCATCAGAGGGCGCTAACAGCAAAACAACTTCATAACCTGCAGCTAACACAGCTGGCTTCAAAGTGGATAAGATGGGGGGCATTTTTTTCTCCAGGTTTCTACAGTTTCCTGGTACAGTACATCAAGCAGTGGTGGCTTAGTGGTTAAAGAAGTAGACTTGGGTCTGGAAGGCTTCAAGTTTGAGTGCCAAGTTACCACTGAGGTGCTCTGAGCATGGCACGGTCCCCACACACTGCTCCAATTAAAGCTGCCCCCTGCTGGCTGTGGTGATGGGTTAAAGTGTGTGCAGTGGTGCTGTATCACAATGACAAGAAGTTGAAAAAAAAAGAGTACAGTACAGTCAAACAGCTAAAAAGAGCGGATAAGGGGTAGGGCAAGGCTGAGGGAGCGGCGGTGGGTGGTGGTGGTGGGGGGGTGTTCACAAGTCACAGAGACAACAAGTTTACTTACGAGTCATTAAGTTCGTCCACAACAGCAGAACAGCCGAACAGCAGAGCTGGGAAACAAACAGCACAGACATGTCATCAATGCTATGAGTCCGCCCGCTACGACACTGTGGCACCGCCCCATCAGAGGGCGCTAACAGCAAAACAACTTCATAACCTGCAGCTAACACAGCTGGCTTCAAAGTGGATAAGATGGGGGGCATTTTTTTCTCCAGGTTTCTACAGTTTCCTGGTACAGTACATCAAGCAGTGGTGGCTTAGTGGTTAAAGAAGTAGACTTGGGTCTGGAAGGCTTCAAGTTTGAGTGCCAAGTTACCACTGAGGTGCTCTGAGCATGGCACGGTCCCCACACACTGCTCCAATTAAAGCTGCCCCCTGCTGGCTGTGGTGATGGGTTAAAGTGTGTGCAGTGGTGCTGTATCACAATGACAAGAAGTTGAAAAAAAAGAGTACAGTACAGTACAGCAAAGTACAGTACAGCAAAGTACAGTACAGTACTGTACAGCAAAGTACAGTACAGTACAGCAAAGTACAGTACAGTAAAGTACAGCAAAGTACAGTACAGCAAAGTACAGTACAGCAAAGTACAGTACAGTACTGTACAGCAAAGTACAGTACAGTACAGCAAAGTACAGTACAGTACCGTACAGCCAAGTATAGTACAGTACAGCAAAGTATAGTACAGTACAGCAAAGTACAGTACAGTAAAGTACAGCAAAGTACAGTACAGCAAAGTACAGTACAGTAAAGTACAGCAAAGTACAGTACAGCAAAGTACAGTACAGTACAACATGCATCTTTGGGTTTATGTTCATTCACACTTAATGTTGTTGGATTTTCTATGCTACCTGTCCAGGTGTAACGAGGTGAACGTTTGATCCTGTCGTATGATCATGTGGGTAAAAATGAAAGCATGGACGTACCTGAAAAGAGAAGCAGAAACCTGTTGTTCAGCATCATGTCCAACACTGACCAGATTAACAGCAGGGCTAATCTGACAGTGCTAATCTGAGATTAACAGGAGGAGAGAGGGAGAGAAAGAGGAAAGGAATAGGGGGATGCGAGGGGAGGATCTTGAAAAATGGAAGGGAGGAAGTAGCAACAAAAATTTCTTATCTGAGTTTGCCTAACATGCGCTATGCTAACACATATCGTAGAAAAACTAACCTTTCTGTCAGAAACGAGAGAGGCAACAGTTTTGAATAAATAGTTTATTTTTTTAAACTATAGAAAACATTGGTTGTTACTGCTGATGTCACTGAGCTGTGCAGTTATCAGAGCTGTGATGATGTCACTGAGCCGTCATGATGATGTCGTTGACGGTGTCTGATGAGCAGCTGAGGGTCAGGACTGCAATACCCACATTGACCACAGGGGAAACGCTCACCTGAGTGATGGCGACGGACATGAAGTTCAAGACTCTTCTTCTGGATGCTGTTAATTAAAAACAATTACTTTAGAGTGAAGTGTGTGTGAGTGTGTGAGTGTGTGAGCGTGTGTGTGTTACCTGCTGTATTGGCATTGTTCACATCTGTGTGGTTTTTCTTGATTGTGCATCCTCTGGTGTCTGATTAGAGAACTGCGGTCGATTGAGGCGTAGGAGCAGAGAGTGCACGTGTGTGGTTTCTCACCTGCATACATGACATGAACGCGCACACACACACACACACACACACACACACACACACACACACACACACACTTACTTGTTCTGTTCCCTGACCTGTATCTTAGAACAGTTTGTCTTTAGTAGAACCCTGAGCAGAACCTGCTTCTATTGTGTCTTTTTCAGCTTCTTGTTCACTAAAGTCAGCAGGTGTAGTTTACAGCGCCCCTTACTGGCACGGTTCCAGGCTGAGCTGTGATCTGACCCCTGTGTGATGTTTGTGTGTGTCACAGTGAGCGTTACCTGTGTGTGTCCTCAGGTGCTGCTGCAGCGACCCCTTCAGTCTGCTACTGTAACTACAGTGTGAACAAGAAAACACTTTCTCTCCACCGTGGACGCCCATGTGACGCCGCAGGGTCAGCGGACTGGAGAAGCCCCTGTAAAGGACACGGAGAGGGGTCAGCTGACCTGTGCCAGGCTGCAGACATAAAAGGATTGTGGGTAATCACCTGTGACACAGTGAGCAGCACAGAGAAGTTTGCTGCGCCCCCACATCCTCCACCAGCTTTTGTTTCTTCTCCCTGCTCCTCTGAGTTTGGCTGACTCTCATGCTGGGGTGTGATTGGCCAACAACTCTGAGGCTGCTCTCTGGTTGGTCAGCAGCTGTTGGTTGTTGGTTACTGAGTGAAAAGACATCCTGACCTTCAGTGATTTGCACCTCTGAACTCTTGAAGCCTGGCTCCTTCCTCCTCTTTTGCCTTCTCCTCCTGCAGTGACTCCTCCAGTGAGGTAGTAGCTCCGCCCAGCTGTGAGTAGTCCAGCTGCACTGGACGCAGCAGAAGCCGCCATCAGCTGCGTGTGACCTAACATGAACGTCCAGCAGACGGCGTGACGTCAGGGTTGTGGGACATAGAAAACACGGCAACCTAAGTCTCCCTGAGGGCGGGGCTTCTGTTTCTCCATCACCAGAGTGGCACCTTTGCTGTGACAAGAGCCCAGACTGTGGAGGTTGGAAGGGTGTGGTTCTGATGGAGGTGGATGACCGGACCGGGGGAGCAGGCCTGGTCGTGGTAATGCGACACAGTCCCAGAGTCATGAGGTGGGCGGACTGAGCCCTCTGCTCCTGCTCTGAAGGAGAGTGTGCAGAGAAATCCACTGATGGTTCTTTCATGCGGAATATGGACTCGTCCTCCTCAAACAGCGTTCCGACCACACAGTTGTCCCCCGTCTCCACACTGATGTCACAGGGGGGAGGGCTCATGTTGTCAAGCATGTTGTACAAAAGAAAGTCCTCATCCTCATCGCACACTTTTGCCTCTGCAGTCAGACCCAGCCGATAAGGTGACGACCCCTCGTCCGCACACTCCGCCCTGCCATCCTCCTCAGCTACACCCACAAAGGCCAGAGTGGAGGCTCGGTGTCTGAGCAGCAGGTGACTTCTGATGACACTCCTGACTCCACAGGTAAACTGACAGAGTTTACAGCGGAACAGTTCCACCAAAAAACATTCCACCAGTGGCCCCGCCCCTTCCATGAGGCCATCTGCCTCCTCACAGAACAGACTGGAACTCACAGTCCCGCCCTCCAGCTGCAGGGTAACTGGGTTGATGTCACGGTAACGCTCCTTCACAGATGACATCAGTCTTCTGATTGGACACTGCTACTGGTAATAAAAGAAAAAGACAAAACACCCACATTTTTCAACAACAGTTTTTTGTACTTCACACATATTTTAACAGACATTTTTACAAGGGTAGTTTTAATGCACAGCGTATTAAAACTGACTTTAGGAATGATCTAATTTGAGATTATCACATTAAAAACTACACTGACCTTTTATATTCACTTTAGTTACCTTTAAAATCTAAAAGCTGTCAAGTTACCACTGAGGTGCAGGTTGGCACCGTCCCAACACCACTGCTACCTTGCCGCTTGCTTATTTTGGTGATGGGTAAAATGCAGAGGTCACATTTTGTTGTGTGTGCACATGTCACAATAACAAGTACAAAAGTGTAATTCAGTTTCACGCTAACCCCAGGGTCACCTCCTGGTGGCGGTTGGTACCTTCCAGTGGACTCACCACCTGCAGGAAGGTTCAGGGGTGGTTGGTACGGTGCAGTGTGATCTGTGTGGCGGTCGTGGAGACTGCTACCCCCGCGACCCGGTAACGGATATGCGAATGAAAATAAATAAATGGATGGATGGATAGTTACCTTTGGTAAAAGCGTCACTGGAACGGTTTCCTAGAGACGTTTGCTGGAGGTGGAACTTTACAAAAAACTCCACACGAAGACTTTATCTGCAATAAGAGGAACATTCAAAACAGAAATCCATTTTTTTTTATTCACACCGTCTTTGTTCTGTCACTTCTGTTACTCATATTTTTTGTATATACAAATACTTACCTGTTTTTACATTTGCTCTTACAAATGCAGCGTGTCTTCTTGAATAAGAACTGTATTTAAAACAGATAACAGAGCTAATGGCTAACGATGAGAACAGCGAGCGTCCACCAGCAGAACAAACACCGAACCTGCTCACAAGTCCGAATGTTGTCGTAGTCTGACCTTTTCTGTAGGTTTACCATGATGGTAAAATAAAATTAATATAAAAACAAAGTTAAATACTCATTTAAAATTCCGACGGATAACGCTGCTGTCCATTTCCGCTACTTGTGCCGTCACTTCCGGGGCTAATGTAAACGTATGAGGGAAGACAAAAGACACAGGGATATAACAATGGTCAATATTAAGAAAATGCGCAGGGAGGCGCACAATGTCTGTTTACCTTGAATCACAGCGAGTTTCTTTTATAAAGAGTTTATAGTTTATCGTCTTTAAGACTTTTCAAACGTTTTAAATCTTTTTAAATCCTTTATACCGGAGGTCAAATGGGGGAGTGAGGGGTTGAATTCTGTTTTTGTATATAAAGTAAACATAAAATAACACTGACACAGAGTTAGTCTTTGATGTGTCATAAAATGATGTCCCGACGAAGAACTGACGTTGCCTCCTCAGTCGTCTGTGCATCGTCGTCACTGAATGTGATATTGTTCTAAAATAAAAATGTTATTTTTCTAATCTCTTGAAGGGAATTGAGATTATTATTTTATGATGTTCTCAAACTAATAAAATGTGTTGACTCATACATGGGTTTCATTGTTATCGTGAGGTAGATTCCCACCTCTAGTCCCTGTTACTGATGTAGACTAGTAACCATGTCGGTAACCATGGTAACGAAGCACCTGATGAGGAAACTGATCACGTGACCAGGATGTTTTTCTTTTGCGTTTCTGACACAACAGGAAATATAACGTCAGTTAACCAGGAAACGTAGTTAACTCTAACAGTGGTTTTGGTGTCGTACAAACACAGCCGTATATCCCATAATACTAACCTCTGTCTCTCCAGTCCTGACTGATAATCTAACCCTAACCCAGAGTCTAATCCCAGACCAAATAACAAGACAATAACCCTCACCTCTGTAAAAATGGAACATTTTCTTCTTCCCCAGAAAACATGTGCTTAGACGCCCCACCCCAACCCTCCCCCACACCCTCACCCCAACTTCTGCTATCACTTGTCACTGAACATGGTCTGTGGTTTAACAGACTGACATCCAGCCGATTAGTTCGACTTGTAACTCGGTGAGAAACAGACTCTCTGAAGGTCAGTGGTCGACTCCAACACATGAAATCCATGGGTGACATCATCAACACGACATCATTCACCACCACGGTAATCAACCATTTAATTTGAGTTGTGATTCAAACATGTGACTGTGGAGACGTTGTGAACATGTTCAGATGTTGGTGAAGAGAGTCCAGGCACAGAGGTTCTGATAAGTGACGAGATGAGACGAGGACAGATGTCCTGGACGTCTTTAGGGTGAAAGGATCTTTGTAGTGAAACCTGTTGCTCTTCCCTCAGGACCCGTCCTTCACCACGGAGGACGACTATGGAGACCTGGAGGACCTGCTGTGCGACCGCAGCTCGGTCCGAGAATTCAGGGCTCGTTATGAGCCGCCGCTATTCTGGATCATCACGCTGTTGGGTGGAGTGGGAAACCTGACTGTGGTGTGGATCTACCTGAACTTTCGT